TTAACAGACACATAAACATAGAAGTAAGAAACTAGAGTCAGCCGGGTTCGGTGGCTCAGCCTGTAATCCCGCACCTTTGGGAGGCTGAGGTGAGTGGATTGCCTGAGCCCGCGGGTTCGAGACCCGCCTGGGCAGCGAGACCTCATCTCTACAATAAATCAAAAAAAAAAAAAAAAAAAAAATCAGCCGGGCGTGGTAGTGCATGCCTGTAATTCCGGCTACTCGGAAGGCTGAGGCGGAAGGATCGCTGGAGCCCAGCAGGTCGAGGCTGCAGTGGCCAGGAGCGGCCACTGCACTCCAGTCTGGGCGACAGAGTGAGACTCCAACTCAAAACAAACAAACAAACAAACAACAACAAAAAAAGAAACTAGAATCTGCCCTCTTGCTCTTTAGTTTGTATCAAACAGTAGTCTTTAAGGTTCTTTGGGGACTTGGATATCTTATTCACCTTTATAACTATCAAAATGCTTGGTATGTAGTAGCAATTTATTTTAGGTAAAAATATATTTCAGAATAAATACCCTGCTTTTGTGTTCTATAGTTTTTGAGCTGAGTGTTGCAGCTGATTCCAAATAAAGATATGGTGAAGTTTAAAGGGACAAAGTAATAAAAGGTGTTCTTTATACCTGTCATAATGTTGTAGCCTTGTAGTGGGGGATGGGGTGGGCATTGGGGGGGGATATTAACTCACAATCATCTACTAGTACATTATTTATTCTCTTTGGCATCCTGGTTACCCTTAATACTGGCCAGGTGGTGGAGTCCAATTGCAGCAGACATGTAGGCTCTCCAAGGAGGTGACCCCTGGTCTCTTCTGTGTCTGGCTAGATCTCTATTATGGAGGCAGATAAACTTAATTGAGTACTACTGCTCTTGTTTTGTATTTTTCCCTTTATATCTTTATAAACAAATAACAGGTGACAGCACAATATCTTTGAAAGCTACTATTTTATTAATTCAATAAGATGATATTCCCTTTCCTTCTGTCTTCCTCCTTTAAGGGAAGGTTTTAAAAACTAGGTCAACTAAGGATTGGATTTTCCTCTCCTACTGCCTATGAGGTTCTTGCATCTTCTGGAGTAGACTTTTGGAGTTGATTGTGTCCTCCTGACAAGACTTCTTGTGTTATCCTATACCATGCTTTCCTGGGCATGCTCTGTAATTCCTTGATGCCAACACACACATTTTTTTTCAGACTTTTACCTTTCTCATTTCTGAATGTAGGCGTACCTTAAAATTGATGGGTGTATTTAATGTGGCATTATTTTTTCCCTAAAAGGCTGTTATTTAATCAAACTAATGATAGCTTTTATAATTGATGGTATCTTATAATAGAAGGAAGGTAATGTGTTTTAACTATTTATTGTTGCTTAACAAATAACCACAAAACTTAAAATAGCAAAGTCATATATTGCCTCTCATGGTTTCTATGGGTCAGGAACTCAGGGCACAATATGTCTCCATTCTATGCTCTCTGGAAAACTTAAAGCCTTGAAGTTAGAGTAATCTGAGGTTTGTTGATTCCAAAGCTCCTTGTGAGCTTTGCTGGGACTAGTGGCCCACATTCCATGAAGACATATTGGAGGGGAAGAAGCTAAATTGAAAATCCTAATTCTTTTTCTTATGAATGAAAGATTTTCCAAGCTCATAAGAAACTTTGGAAGAAAAAATGAATTCAGCATTTTCTTAGAATGGCTGGAATTGAGTTTCTGGTTCAGAATTTTGTAGTATGATCTAAATTTTTGGCATTGGGAAGGCAACCTGTCATTATAGTCATGTTTATATTTCACACCAGAACCTGATCTGTTCATCAGTATTCAGGATGATTTACACCAGACTCCTCACTCATTCTTCCCCAACTCTCCATCACATCTTGAGACTTGAAATTCTTAGCGAGGGGGAAAAAACAGCTGAATGTGCCACTTTTTAATCCACTTGAATCAGGGACTTGATTGTCAGCTACTCCAAATACTCTTTATCCATTCATTCCAGAGAAGTGTTCTCTTGAAGCGTTTTGAGATCTCTAACCTGAGTACTTTTTCCAAAGCCCCTCTTATTCATTTCTAAGACAAGTACTAGATCTAAGGGAATTCAGTAGTATGTGGTCTCTCTAATGCTCCTCAACTCCTTGGGGGTTCAAAGAATTAGATAAACTACTGTCTTTGTTTTTTTTTTGAGTTGGAGTCTCACTCTGTCACCCAGACTGGAGTGAGTAGCTGCCCCCGGCCACCGTAGCCGTGACCTGCTGGGCTCCGGCGATCCTTCCGCCTCAGCCTTCCAAGTAACTGGAACTACAGGTGCGCGCTACTACGCCCGGCTAATTTTTTGTTTTATTGTAGAGATGAGGTCTCACCAAGTTGCCCAGGCGGGTGTCGAACCCGCGGGCTCAGGCAATCCACTCACCTCAACCTCCCAAAGCGCGGGATTACAGGATGATACAGGCTGAGCCACCGAGCCCGGCTAACTACGGTCTTTGAAACACACACACACCTTTTTTTTTTTAAAGGGTAAAGTTTTAATGAAATAGAAAATTTTGGTTTAACTTTTAGCTTTAAGAAGGGCCATTTCTTTTTCTTTTTTTAATTTTAATTTATTTTTATTAAGGTATGGTTGGTAAATAAATATTATATATATTTACAGTGTATATGATGTTTTGATATATGTATGCATTGTGCAGTGGTTAAACAAAGCTAATTAACATATCCATCACATCACATACATATCATTTTTTGTTGTGAGAACATCTAAGATCTACTCTCTTAGCAAATTGCAAGTATACAATACATTATCATCAACTCTTGTCAACATACTATATAGTAGATCACCCTATGTCTTTTTTTATATCAATATTTTTTATTTTGATATTGTGGGGTACAGTTAAGGGTTAGGTATACAAATATGCTTCGTTCAGGCACCCTTGTTGATAAGGGGTGTCTCCCCGTCCCCAGACAGATATTGACTACCATTAATCCCACCTCCCTTCCCCTCCCCCCACATAGTTTCCCACCACTGTCAGTTCTTTTTTTATAGTATTATGATGGATGTTCAAGGTTCGCTATATGAGTGAAAACATGTGATACTCAGATCTTTGTTTCTGTGAGAGGTCACTCAGTATCATTGACTCTAGTTTCTTAAGACCTGAAGTTACTGAGCCTTCTAAATATGATGTTGAAAATAATATTGGTATTAGTATGGAAACCCGAAACAAATATTTCATCACAAAAATTGGTTTTCTTTTGCTGAACTCATTTGGGTTAAGTCTCCAAGAAGTTCCTGAGCACTAGTTTCAGAATATTGAGCTTGAAGGGAATTTTTATAAGGAGAATATTGTCATCATCCATAGTTCCTATCTGCTGTATGTCTCCACTTGGCAGGCTTGAAAAGGGGCTCTAATGACATCTTGTTTGACAACCTTGTGAGGTTGGTGGTATTATCCCAATTTTATAGACAAAAAAATGAGCCCAGAAAAGTTATGTACCTTGACCAAGGTCATATACCCAGAGAGTAGTAACCAGAGCTATCTAATGTGAAAACCATTGCATGGAAGAGATTTTAATTAGTACTTGGGTTGCTGTAGGATTTTTCACAAGCAACTTACTAAGTGTAGGGAGCTAGTGCGTACTAGTGGAAATTTTACACATTGAGTGTCTTGTCTGAAGCTGGAGACTTGGAAGAATTAAGGAAAGGTTCCTGATAGGCCTAGTTTATTCCTTTTCCAGCTCTGCTCTCCTCTCTTCATTTTACCCATCTCATGTAATTCTCCATATGATTTTGTTTTAGAGTCTTATGATGGCTACTTGGTAAATAGCCTCGCCAGATTACTCTGGTATTTTGGAAACATGACTTCTAAGACACCTGACACATAGGTACTTACTTGTATACCAACTTCAACCTACGTTCCTAATAGGGTGGCTGGGTCTCTATTTCCATCACAATATACTACACAGTCAGACCCAAATTCACTGCACTGCTTGAATACATAATGGTAGTCATCTGGATTTACTTAATTTCTTTCTTAATTGACTTAATTTCTTAGATTTTTGTTTTAGTACTTATCAGGTTAGAGAAGGCTATTTTAATTCTAAGGAAAATGTGTTAGTGGTTTGGCATGGCTCAATGATTGTGGTAGTACACTGATGCACATATATACATCTTCCATATTTGGTGTGTGTGTTTGTCTTTGTATTGAATCCAGGTTAGTTTTAGCCTGGGTGTGTTTATGATATTATCTAGAGTGTCTGTACTCTGGAGTTTTTCTAAATTAATAGGTGAATTGCATCACGGATGACCCATGTTGTGGTTTCTTTTGATGCAGTGGTATGTGGAGAAGGATGGGGAAAGAAATACCAAGAGCACTTGAGATCTGGAATTTATAAAAATAGTTTGCTGTTTAGTTTTCAGACTGACTTAAATTTTTTATCTTACTATGGAAGTAGTATCAGTTTATTGTAGCAAATTTAGAAAATATATATGGGCCCCAAAACGAAAGAGAGGTGACATCTCAGAGTTAATCACTGTTAAGATTTTGGTTTAACTTATCCCAATCTCTGTATATTTGGATGTATGTGTGTGTGTGTGTGTGTGTGTGTGTGTGTGTGTGTGTAAGTATGAACATTCATGGATATGTTTGTTTTTGCAAAAATAAGCCTATGCTAAAAATATTGTTCTATGAATTATATTTTCAGATGTATCTATTCATTAAGTATTCTTCCATAAAATCATCTCAGTGACTGTAAAATTCTCATTGTATGGCTATTCCATATCTTTTGGATGTTATATTTATTATATTATTATTTATTCTATAATGTTGCATTAACTGATAGATAGGAAGAGGCTTTTTGAGTTTTGGACCACTGAATTGGCTTCCTTCCTTCACTGCAGTCAGTAGAGTATGTTATGTCTTGCTGTTCCCCCGCCCTGAGATCCACTACCCAGCCGAAGAATGCTGTGGAACTGATCGCTGCTGACAGCTCATCTACTTTTGCTGTTTCTTCTTGCAGGAGACAGAGCATGTGGTGCCCAGCCAGTCAGAGTGTCAGGGGAGAGCAGGACCGCCTGCACATGAGAGTCCACAAAACAATGCCTTCAGGTGCCAAGAAACAGTGCAACTTCAACCAAGGTGGGCGCTTTGTTGTCAGAAACTGCGCTGTGCCTGTGTTCCTTTCCCAGAAATGCCAACTTGTATGCTTCCCACCCCCACACAAGCATCAAGGCTTTCTGATTTTTGTTGGCATTCCTTTTAGTTAGAGAGGCTGTTTAAAGGGGCCTCTAAGGAGAATGACCAAGTGGGTTTAAGAGAAATGTAAATGACCTACTTTCTGTGTCTTCCATTTGAAGGTAATCCACCTTAAGGCTTGAGGAGGGGTGAAGACAGGGCCTGCCTTGGGAGAGAAATGCTGCTTCATTCATTCTGTCCCCTTTATTCCGTGGTAGAGGAGATTAGGTTTTCCTTTCTAATAATGATAAATTCGTGATGACCGTGGAGGTATCCTGCCAACTGCTTTTTACATATTCTTTCATTTAACCTTCTCCATTTTCTTGTAAAGCTGTCTACAAATGGTCCCATTTTATGGAGGAGCCGGAGGCTGAGACACATTAAGATGCTTTCCTGATGTTGCACAAGTGAAAAAGACTGAGCCAGAATTTAGACCTACAGATGTCTGATTACAGCATGGCAGGTGCAGATTCTGCACCGACTCAAGTGTCATCCAGTGACCTTAGCCCTGACTTAGGCCCAGGAATGGCCTCTCTAGCCTCCTAGGTCTGCTGGAGACAGTTCTGGATCCAGGGCGAGGATGTGGGTGGAAAGCTGCCTGCAGAAAGGTTGGCATGAGATTCGGATGGGTGCCTGGCATTGCAGCTGTCTATGGAAAGTCTCTTCTGGAAATAAACAGAAGAAAGAATTCAACTGCTAGTTGTGTCAGCTGTCTTTGTAGGATCTTGTGTACAGTGTATTCATAGCCCTCACTCAGTGGAAAGGAAAAGCTGTGCTTCTGAGCATGACCTTTAGAATGTTTTTATTCCTAAGGCAGCACAGTCTAAATGAATCAACAGCTACAGAGAAGATTGGCTGTGCTATGTAATTGTACTTTAAAATATCCCATATACTAAATTTAAAATCGTAGAATACCACAACATCGCAGGAGACTCCCAAGGTAAGGTGATCCTCTCTCTAGTGGTTTCATGGGCACCTTTTATAACCCTCCTCACAAGTTATCATCTTTTATCTGTTTATTCTTACCTGACCTCAGGTAGTGCCTGTTGGAGTCAACTCCATCATTTCTTCACTGATTAGGACATTCTCCCTTCTGCTGTAGGTCTTATTGTAAGAAAGCTGTTTTTGACTGGCTAGAATCAATGTAGTGAGTGAGCCATCAGCCTGATGACTGCCTTTCTCAGCAAGAATAAGGTCAACTATATTCCCATACATATTTCTAAATAGTATGAAAGCAAAGCATAAAAAAACCAAAACAGAGTCATTCATGCTTACATTTGGAATGTATGGCAGGCCTTTAAGGGTGGATATTTGACAGAGGCCAACAGGGAAAAATGGTGTTAGCAATTAACCTTCTCAAAGATACCTGATGTTCAGTAAACTTAAATCCATTTTGTATCCCATCTCATGTTGTATCTGTCTTCCTCTACTCCTTAGCAAACCTTTATAGGATCCAAATACCTTGCCATCCTTTTCCCCTCCTCACCTTTAGCTTTCCTGTCCCACTATCATGGGATCTATCTTTCTGAGCTAACAGCATTTCAGAGTGTTCTGTGCACCAGTGTCAGCAATTGCAAGATCTGGTGCTAAGTAAGTCATAGATCAGGAGTCCTGTTAGGCCAGTATGTCTAGTACTCTTAGATTAGTAACCTTTAAACTACAGTTATATATCACAACCATGATAGCATCACCAAAGGACATTCTAATGGAACCTAAAAAAAAAATTTCAAAATTTTACAGGGATTGTGAAATTTGATTAACTGGTGAAATGAGATCTGAGATTAAAAACAACTTTGAATCAGGTAGCTCACATTCCTGATAACATGTTTTAAGCCGGCATCTGACCAGGTTTGGGCGTTTCATGCCGAGTAAAACCTTGGTAGAGATATGATACTGTAATAGGACACGACAGACCTTGGTTTGGGCTCAGAGGGAGGGAAGAAGCCAGGTTAAATCTCAGCAGGCTTAAAATGCCGCCTTCTTGGGGGGTAGGTGGTGGGGAATGCTATTAACATAATGAGCACTATAAGCAAAGGAAGAAAAATCTCTCTGTGGGAAGGAGCCGCCAAGGGGTCCACATCATTTGGTGTGTGATGACTCGAAGGAGTAGTTAGTCTTCAGAGAATGAATTCATTCTTGCAGAAGTGAGATTTTTGAGACAATTTAGGTCATGGGTGGGCACTGATCTTTTCATTTATACTAAATAGTTTCAGACCTGCAGCTCTCAGAGCTCTCATGTTGTGTCTTAGGCTCTTTTTAGCACAAAGAGCCTTTATTTGTATCTGAAGATGAGCTTCAGGAAGGTTGACCATATTCTTGCAGCTTAAAACAACACAAATTTATTGTCTTATAGTTCTGAAGGATAGGAGTGCAACATGGGACTCACTGGGCCAAAATAAGGGTGTTGGCAGGACTACATTCCTTTCTAGAGGTTCTAGGGAAGAATCAATCTATTTCCTCACCTTTGTCAGTTCCCAAAGTCTGCCCACATCCCATAGCTCAGAGTGCCTTCCTCCATGTCCAAAGCTGGCAGTATTGCATCTCTCTGACAATTCTTCCATAGTCATTATTTCCCTCTGATCATCACCAGGGATTTTCTGACTCTAAGGATTCCTGTGAATAGATTGGACTCACTCAGATAATCCGAGATAATCTTTGAATATCAAAGTCCTTAATTCATTCACATCTGCACAGTACCTTTTGTCACATAAGATACCATAGTAGGAGAAGGACAAGGACGAGGACAGGGACATCTTTGTAGTGAGGTATTCCTCTGTCTACAATATTTGTTTTTTCCAGGGAAAATCTCTGAAGCATTTATCAGGATCTTATTTGGAGCACATGATCCCAGAAAAGGCTTAGAACCCCTGTTCTATTGTATTCCTACCTCTAAGTCTGCTTGCTCTGCCAAATTCCCTCGACAGAGCCAGCTTCAGATACAGTTTTAGCAGCCTCCGTCCTCTTCATTGCAACCCTCCTCCCTTTTGCCATGGCCCCATCCAGCCCTATATTATGTTACTTGACTGTACAGTGCTGCACACCAGAGGTCTTGAATTTGGTGTCCTACAGTGGTATTTGGTGTGTAGACATATTTGGCTTATACAATATTAAAATATTTTGAATCTATATTAAAAAAATCAAGAGTTAAAAAAATCAGGAGTTTCCTTTTACAGATATTTGGCTTTTTTGGGAAAACATGAAAATGGGATAACCCTGGGCCTACATGCTTACGGGGTAACAATTAGCCAGAGTTAAGGAGCAGCTCTCTTCACAATTCCTGCCCTGCTCTTTGCCCAGCTTCTATAGGCATTTGATTTAAAATGCCTGCTTCAATTCTTTTCTTCCTGGCAACTGATCACTGGGGGACTCTGCAGCTGCCTGGAGCTAAGTCCTCATAAATGATAATGTTTTATCATATGGTGATGACTGATAATGCCTTAGTGCCACCTTTTCCTAGTTGACATGTTTGCATTTTAACATGGACCTCAAGTGCATATGAGTGGAAGGGTTGGGTATTCTACTAATCTGGCCTGCTTTTCAATGCCTGGTGTTTTCTAAATATGTAAAATTATAGAACTGCATTTGTTAGAACTGGAAGAAGCTTTAGCGATCATTTAATAAAACTCTCATTCTCTTGTTGGATACCCAGTGAGGCTGTGATCCACTTAAGTTCTCACTCCTCTGGTACTAGAACCAAGAAAAGTGCCGTCAATCTGTATTGAGCTGTCACTTGATGATGCATCAATTTGACTGATTTTTATACTAACTAAAGCCAATCGTAATCCTATAAACCCTCAGATAAGACAAAGAGAAAATTATGAATGTAAGAGAATACTGATGAAATCTGGAATTTCTTACTCAGCTAAGTAAATTTACTTTTGAGACTAATTAACTCACCTATATTTAAAATATTGTATTAAAATTTATGACAGTCTTAAAACATTTAATGTTGCTAAAGACCTTGTCTGTGTAAACAAGAGCAATTCTATAGCATTGTCTTACTCTTAATTAGATTGATGGTTACATTGCCAGTACCCGTTTACTGACTACTTCGTCTAGGAGTCCCATGTTAGAGAGGGTGGAAGATCCTTAGCAAGGATAATGGCCTTTGATGGCTTCTACTATTTTTGTGACATTCCATATGAAAGAAAGGCTGGGGGCTTTGTTGCTTTATAGAAAGAGGAAGTTTTGTTGGCAATAGCTTTTCCATGGAGGAAAATCCTTTCATCTTTTGTTTCTGTGATAGACAATTTGTGTGTGTATGTTTGTATGTGTGAGTGTGTTTTAATAACTAGTTGTTTCTTATTTAAATGTTTTTCATAGAAGTAAGCAGACTCTTAATGAGTTATGCTAAAAAGGGAATGAATGAATAACAGAATGAGTACCCAGAGATTTTTAATAACATGAAAGGCACCATTCCCCCTTCTTGGACTATACCAGAGTGGGAGACTTGCATGTTTCCAGCATGCTCTTCTTCTTTCTCATTAGTGTGTTTCTAGGGTTTTTTTTTTTTTTTTTAGGGGAACGGGGATGAAGTAGAGATTTTGAAAAAACTACCTGTCTTCACAATGTTTTGAGACTCCTTGGTATATGGTTGGATAATGAGTGGCTCTAACATAGCTCCCTTTGAATATTCTGCATAGTAAGGGAGTCAGATAAGGGCTCTCCTTCCCTGCCTGCTTCAGTTGCCTCCCTCCATGGGCAGAGACAATCTGATGGAATGAAAATAACTTTTGAATTAAGAAATGTAGAGTCTTATGTCTATCAGGTGACCTTTGTCACCTCACTCAAATTCTCAGCTATCCTCCTCTAGTGTAAGAAGTTTAGGTTAAATGATTTCTAAGGCTTCTTCTGGCTCTAACATTTAAATGTTCAACACTCTAGATATTTAAAGAATTAAACAT